CCCACCTACTTGTTATTATTCTATAGGATCAAACCAGTGCATGTGGTTGGACAGCTTGGTCTGGCAGCAAGTGATCCTTTGGGTCAATTTCACGATTTTTGGCATAGCCCTAGAGCAGCAAGAGGGGGTTGGGGTATAAAATCTAATTATATAATTTAGTTATTTCATGCATGGATATTAAGAAAATAAGTTAAGTTGGTTATTCCTTATTCGTAAAAAAATGCGTATAATTATTCAATGGGCTGCCTTAATTAAAAAACCTTATTTCTACCAAAAATTAGAAAACTTTATTAATTATGCCTTAATCTAAAATGATTTATATTTTTGAACATGAGACTTGGTCCCTTTGCATTTGAATGTAAGCAAATTTTAGTGAATTCATACAATTTAAAAAAATTGGTTAAGCATAAGTTATGCTTGAAATTTAAAAATTTGAATTAAAATGCCCTTATAATTAATTTTTAGCATGTGATGGAATCAAGTCTGATTTTATGAGAAGCAATTAAACGAAAATGTAATAACTATTTCTTCGATATTCTAATAAAGATAATGAAGTATGAGACATTTTTTTAATGATAAAAACCAAAGAAATATTTCAGAAAAAAATTCTTATATATAATTCTCGAACATGAAGTAAGTATTAACAAGAAACAAAAAGAAACATTTTTGAATCAGAGTTATAAAAGTAATCATGTTTACATTATTTATTCCGTTTAATATTATAAATTATTTTTAATCGAATTGCATGTCCCCATGAGTTAGTAAACTTTATTTAAAATTACATATTTTTTCTATATTTATTTTTATTTAATAGGGTGCTTCAAATATAAAACTACATTAATTACATCCATAATTAAATGTGTTTTTTTTAAAACCTTATTAATTGCATAAAAACTTAAATTATTCCTCCGTCCAAATAATAAGACACTTTTAGGAAAGACTTAGCGTGCCAAAATATAAAACATTTTGATAAAAATAAAGTTTCATTAATAATACTTTTTTAATATTACCCTTTTTATATATTCTCTCTCTTCAATATTTTTTTATTGATGGAGTATTAAATGGAGGGTATTTTTTAAAAGTTTATATTTTTATCTTGAAAAAGTAAGGTTTTATAGTGTACTTAATGAGTTTTATTGATATGTAAGATTTTATCTAAAAGTGTCTTATAATTTAAAACAGAGGGAATATCTTTTTTTTTAACATTGCTACTTTAAAAAAAAAAAATCTTATACTACTTATGTCCTCATTTATAAACCACTCATTTATAAACCACTTCTCGATAAAATTATACCTACTAATGAATATCATTAAATTTATTTTATAACCTTACTTTTTAAAAATAAAAATTTAAAATTTAAAAAATATCCTTCATTTAATAACTTCATTTGTAAAGAATTTTAAAAAGAGATAATATATTTGAAGAGTAATATTAAAAAAATATCATTAATAAAACTTTTTTTTTATCAAAGTGTCTTATTCCCTTTAGTTGTATTTATAAATCACTACTAATATATTTTACTAGAATCACTAAAAACTTTAAATTTTGTTAACTTTGTCTCAAAATTTTTACCTTTATCCCCAATATTATAATTACAAAGAATCATTTTTAACAATTTTTCATAACATTTAATAAGGGCAAATGGTTAAAAATGAATATAAAAAATAGTAAACGCTTTATAAAAAGAACCAAAATTAATAATTTCTCTTTCTTCTCTGTAGATAAAACCAAAAGAAATATATATTGGGATGCCAAATCTCTCCCAAAAATATTTTATAATTTAAAATGGAGGGAGTTATATTGAAGGGAGGAGTAAAAATAGCACACTTTAAATTATCCCTTCTAATGCAAATTAAATTGCAATGCATATAAACCTTGCTACTCCGTACTGCCTCAAGTCTTTATTAGGGGACACTTTTTAAAAGAATTCTTTAATTTTCAATATAGGTACTTGATGAGGTATTAATTATAATTTTTTAATATTATTGATTATATTCAAACTTATTAACCATGAGAGACAATATAATATAAATTAATTTTTTTCCATTTAAATAAAAATAAAATTTAAAATTTATTATATTTTTAAACCAAGTTAATAATTAACTTACTTGTCTCTTCTTGATTTCAATGAGGTGTTTATAGCAATTATAAGCATTGGGTGCCTATACCCATGTGGTAAAATTTATGCTGTCTATTAAATTATGGGTTTGGAAAATATTGTTGCAACTAAAATCAAGAAACACTAAATCCAAATCTCCTAGATAGCATCACATAATGAATATCTACCCTATTTTCAACATAAAATTTAGAATTTTCTTAAACAGTTCAAAATTTTCGTGCTTCTTCTACACTATCATATTCTTTGCTTATTGTTGGTATAAAATCTTCCTCCATTTTCTATCATTGAGAAGCATATGAAGGGGAAAAAAATACAATACTCCTTTCATCTCAAATTATAAGACACTTTTAGATAAAATTTTACATACCAATAAACCTCATTAAATGCATTGAACAATCTTATTTTTTCAAAATAAAAATATAAACTTTCAAAAATATCCTTCATTTAATAAACTTAAATCTACACTTAATTAGTGTTAAATAGAGAGAGATAAAGGGTAGTATTGGAATAGGTTTATTTAATAAAACCTTCATATTCTCAAAGTGTCTTATATTTTGAGACAACAAATCTCTCCTAAAAAGTATCTTATAATTTGAGATGAAAGGAGCAATACATTCATAAAGAATATTCATTTTGTTTTAAATTATAAAATACTTTTAGACAAAATCTCATATACCAATAAACCTCATTAAATGTACTTAACAATCTTATTTTTTCAAAAAAATATAAACTTTCAAAAATATTTATTATTTAATATATTAAAAAGAGAAGAGATGAAAATTAATTATAGAAAAAGAAAGAATAATATTAGAATTGGTGTATTTAATGAAACCTTAATCTACTCAATGTGTCTTATATTTTGGGACAAAAAAAACTTTTTTAAAAATACCCTATAATTTGAGACGTAGAGAGTATATAATATAAACTCATATATCATAATAAGAAAGATAGATGCAAAATATCATAATATATATGGTGTAAAAATAATGATATAGGCGTATACTATTTAAAAAATTCTGAATTTTAGGCGGAAAATATGTTAGACATTTATTAATTACTACTATTTGGGAGATTTGGATGAATTTAGATTTAATATTTCTTAATTTTAATTGCAACAAGGTCTTCCAAATTATTAATTTAATGGATAGCATGAATTTTGCTGCAGGCATATAGGCACTCAATGAATGTACTCCCTCAATCTCAAATTATAAGATATTTTTAAGGAAGATTTAACATCCTAAAATATAAAAATTTTTGATAAAAATAAGGTTTTATTTTCAAAATTACTCTTTCTATATATATTTTTTTTCAATGGAATATTAAATGTAGAGTATTTTTAAAATTTTATTTTTTTATTTTGAAAAAGTAAGGTTATAAAATGTATGTAAAAAGTTTTATTGATATATAAAATTTTATTTAAAAATATTTTATAATTTAAGATGGAGGAAGTAATTGTCACCGTAACGGGATGGGATTCAAATCCATAATATGTGAGCGGAGGGAGTGGCTTTGCGCCTTATGGCATGCGATTCTATTGGGTGGCAAGGGAAGAAACGCATATGTGTTGACCATCTGCCTCCTGATGAATCGAACTGGAATCAAAGTTGCCAGCAGAAATATGAACGCTCATTGCTAATATTACTTTCTCACCACACCCTGAGGCGCACCGTCTGTGTACGCCATTCAGACCCTAACGTATGGCCATGGCACAAAATCCGGAGTCTCTCTCTCTCTCTCTCTGTGAAACCATGGGCACCATTCCCCCTTCGAAACTGCCTTCTTCTCCCTCTAAAACCTCCCTCACCAACCCCCTTTCCCTCTCTCTTACTTCATGATTTGTATTTTATTCAGCCAAACCTCCCAACCCCTTTGAACTTATCCCCAGAAAACATTAAACAACATTTGATCTCTTCACCACGGTGGGTTCCCCCCCGCCCCGGTTACAGTCCAATTTTTAAGCATGTGCCTATCAAGGCCTTGATTGGCTAGCTGGTTTTTCGAAACTCTTGTTCTCTCCCTTTAATTCATTTCTTCTTCATCTTCCCCGGATGGTTCTCTAATTGCCTGCCTGAAAGTTTTTTCTTTCCATTTCTGGTTATTTGAATGTGATGTCTGTCCCTCTCTAAAGATCTAATTAGTACAATTAGGATTTTTTGTTTAAATTAGTGTTCGATGATGACAGAACTAAAAAAAAAACAAAGAAAGAAAAAAGAAAGGGAGTAGTTTTCAGAAGATTCGAGTTTGAAGGGAGAGAGAGTCGCTTTCTTTGAAGGTAAGGGAGGTTGGTTTTTTATTGTTTATGTTATCCGAGTTTTTTGATGCTCTCTTTGTGGATAGAATTAATCAGATGCTCTATGTTGCTTCTCTTCTTAGGATCTGCTGTTATTGCAAAAGCGGGCTCTTATCTTTTCTGCTTCCTTAATTGGTTACAGTGTACTGAAAGTCCCTCACTAACCTCATATCCGTACACAAATAATCCTTCGCTCCTCTCCCTGTCCAAACCTCTTTCTTCTTTCTAGTTTCTCTCTCCTATTCTCTAAAACCACATCTGCGGCCAACACAACTCCAGAGGCTTTAATTTCTAGTGGGAGATCTCTCTCTGCATGCAAGGCTTGTAAAACTGGAACAAAATAAACACCACCCGGTTTTGGTTTTCCTTTTGCTTTCTCTTTCCGAAAACCCCATTACAATACTGCATGATTGTCCAAATGGTTTCAACGAATTTTAATCGTTTCGAGTGGGAGATATGCATGCAAAGTATGAACAAAACCCAATTTTTTTCCTTTTTCCTCCTTTTCCTTAATTTCTCTCTATGAAACCCCTCATTTTCCCCCTCCAGTTAACCTTTGAACATGCAAAATTGTAGGTGGTAATATAGCAATGGAGGAAGAACATGCTTTGAATGTTAACGATGAAAGTGAGATCTGGCTTCAAGACGCGCAAGACGAGCTTCTTGGTGTGAACGAAGCATCCATGTTCTATGCTGATTTACCTCCTCTCCCAGATTTTCCATGCATGTCTTCCTCTTCGTCGTCTTCCTCAACTCCAACACTTCAAGTCAGGACCGCCACGTGCTCCACCACATCTTCATCCTCCACTGCTACCTCATCATCGGCCTCTGCCGTGTCTTGGGCAGTTCTCAAGTCCGATGCCGAGGATAATCTTCTGGTGGAGGATGCGGTGGCTCCGCTGCCACTGGCAACCTTGTCCTCCACCGCTTCCAGGGAGCTCATGCCCCCGCCGGTCAATTGTGATGGCGAGATGGAGGAGCCTTTTCCGTGCCTGGACATGCTAGAGATCAACGATTTCTTCGACCCGTTATTGGTTTTTCAAGATGATGATTGCCAGTTAGAAGAATATCCCCAGAATCAGATAGAGCGGCGGCAGGAGCAACTTGTAATTACGATGCAGCAGCAACCAGAGGATCAAGATCAACATGCGCTGTCTAATGGTAATGACTGTGAAGAAGAGATTCAAGGAAAGGGAGGAAACCCGGATGGGGAAATGAGCGACGTGTTCTTGGAGTGGCTCAAGACGAACAAGGATAGCGTCTCTGCGAATGACTTGAGGAGCGTAAAGCTCAAAAAATCAACCATAGAGTGTGCTGCCAAGCGTTTAGGAGGAGGAAAAGAAGCCATGAAGCAATTGTTGAAGCTTATTCTTGAATGGGTTCAAACTAGCCATCTCCAAAACAAAAGGCGCTGTGCCAAGGAGAATATTATCAATACTAATGATAGTGCGCCTTCATATTTTCTCACTACAAACCCTAGCTCTAATTCCAACCCAAATTTATTTGGAATACCCCAGTCATGTCAATGGGTTTCTCCTCTGCAGCCTTATGCGACAGATCCGGCCACTATGGTGGCCGTGCCGCCACCTTCTTATCAATCGATTGGGTATCCGGGCGACCCTTGTTCAAATGGAGCATTGAACAATATCAATTCTCACCAACCTGCTAGTACTGAACATAACATGATGGAAACGGCTCATTCATGGCCTCCCTCCCAGTTCACGGTTGCTCCCCACTGCAACCAGTCGTATGGGGTCAATAATCTTCACCAAGCTGGTTCACCACCCTTACAGGCGGGGTTTGGCGGCTATGGCAATCAGTATTCATATCACTATTTTCATGGCGTGGCGGCGGGTGATAAGATGATGAGGTTAGGTCCCTCGGCGACAAAAGAGGCAAGGAAGAAGAGGATGGCGAGGCAGAGAAGGTATTTGTCTCATCATAGGAACCAGACACACCAGGGCCAACTACAGAATCGTGATAATAATGAGCCAATTGCAAGATTGGGAAGTGATTATAATTGCACCGGAGCTTCCGCAAATACGGCGAATTGGGTTTACTGGGGGTCACTGGCTGGAGGGGCAGCTTCCCTGGGACCAGTCATTCCAGCTGAAACCCCGCAGGTTTTGGATCGGACCGCCATGGAAACACAGAATTATCAAACTACAGTCCCATCAACAGATCAAAGGCGCCAGGTGCGAGTCAACCTGCATAATTCGAGCCTTAAGATTATAAAATAAGTTTATGATTATTAGTAACTCATTTCAGATTCAAGATTTCATTATTGAGAGATTATTGAGAGTATAAATTAATGATGCAGTTATGCTTGCTGATTTTTTTTTTTTAATTTCTTCCGTTTTCCTCCGTATTTTATCTGGTTTTTATTCTGACTTGAAGATATATAATTGATTGAGGTAATAAATATGGTGCTTTAATTTGATAGGGATTGAAGACAGAGAAGAACTTGAAGTTCCTTCTTCAGAAGGTGTTGAAGCAAAGCGACGTTGGTAGCTTGGGGAGAATTGTGTTGCCAAAAGTATATATTAATCGATCATCTGCTTCATTTGAATTAGTTATACATTTTTACAATATCATAATTAAGTTGACAAAATGAGAATGTTAATTATTCTGATTGTTGATTTTGTCGTTAAATATGTTCAGAAAGAGGCTGAAGCCCACTTGCCAGAATTAGAGGCAAGAGATGGCATTTCTATAGCAATGGAAGACGTTGGAACCTCTCGTGTTTGGAACATGCGCTATAGGTACGTATATGTCCCGAACTAAATTTTCTTGTTCGGTTTGTTCTTTTCTCACAAGTAGGACCAAAACTAATCTTGGATTTTTCTTATTTTTGGAGTCTCAGATACTGGCCAAACAACAAAAGCAGGATGTATCTGCTCGAGAATACTGGTGTGTTTATCAACTTCGGCACTGTTTTTATTTTTGTTCTGTCTTCAATCATGTGAAAAGGGGTTTACCTATAATATGTATACATGATTTGCAGGAGATTTCGTGAAAGCCAACGGACTCCAAGAGGGAGACTTCATAGTGTTGTACTCAGACGTCAAGTGTGGCAAATTTGTAAGAGCTTCTTTTTTAGTTTTTGACTCTAAATGACGTGTATGTGCTACTGAGCATTGCAGTTCCCGTATAGCTTGTGAAATGACTGAATTTTGATTTTGGTGGGAACCAAAACAGTTGATAAGAGGAGTGAAAGTAAGGGAAGTAGCGGGTGGGGCAAAGACAGATCAGAGCAAGAAAGCCGGAAAAACGCAGAAAGCAGCTGCTATTGCTAATAATGAGTCGCCCTCTACAGTGTCACCAGCTCAGAAAAAAAGTAGAAAATGATGTGCTTTTGATCGCAGACTTTAGAGACCAAGGACATCTTTATGCGTAGGAAAAATGGACGGCGGAGGTTGTCTCTCGTCTCTGCTCAACCTTCTCACTGCCATTGCATAGGGTAGTGTGACGAACAATTGGGCCTTGTAAGATGGGAGCGCTGTAGTATATATACTGTATGTATTTGCAGGAATAAGTGAGGTGATGGTGTTGTGCCTGAATTTTTTTTTTTAATAAAAAGATCAAATGTCATTATAATAAATGCTCAAGCTGCCCGTGTAACTAGAACTGCTTGGCCAACAACACAGAAAATAACAGGCAACAAGGATACAAGGAAAAATGAAGAAGCAACACACAGTTACACACAAACACACCAACACGCCGCGTAACTGATCTAGGAAGACAGGGGTCAGCTGGCATTTCATAGGCCTGGGCTTTTGACACGGTGAATTAAAGTCAGGGCCTGCTTGAGAGTTGAGATGCAAGTAATAGGAAGAGGATGGGCGAGCAGCGAGAGGATACGGTGGTTGGTGTGAGGATCTTGGGCATGGCCATCTTGGTGTTAGTACATATAGTGGGCCAGTCTGGCGAGGTTGATGGCTCTGAAACATGCGGGGAATGCAGAATCCTGCACTGTACATCGAACCCCGCACGTGCTCGTATGCCTCCACTTCTGAAGCTTCACTCTAGCTCATGTAGCATCTTATTGATTTTGGAACGTCGCCTCATTCACTTGCTCTCGAGCCATCCCCCTTCTCCATTATTCAAGCATTGCATGCATGCATAAATACATTATACATGAATGCAATTCCCATAGGATAATTTAACTTCAAAAAGAAAGGAAATCAAGTGGCACCCTATATGCGCAGTTGCGGACAATGGTGGAGGAGAGGCGAATAAGATCTGGGTATGGTTGCAGAGGACGAAAGTCGTGGAGTGAAATAACATGGAGAATCAAGAAGTAACCTTGAACAAGTGCCACGGGTCCTCCCACTGAAATCCATGCGTTTTCTATGTATTCTTCCAAGCTTGGCTCGTACCCTTTGTAACACCATTCTGCCTGTTTCATGTACGCTTGGCACTGATCACCCCACTGCTAGTTTGCACTCAACACTTCATCAATTGCATAATCCCCTTTCATGCCCGTGGCTCTTTATATATATATATATATATATATATTCACAATGAAACAAATGCACCTAAATTACACACCGCTTTGTTGAGATAAGGAATGACGTTGAGGCCACTGTTTTTGAGCGCGCCAAAAGCTACCTCGTTCAGAGTTATACAGCGCCAGCAAACATATTTTCATATAATTCGCCATCTTGAATATCAGCACACCAAAATCAATCTATAGTGTAATTAATAGTAACCAATGGATTAATTAAGCTGACCAGCCGTACCCGTGGACCACTTGGGTGAAGAGCTGGAGTTCTTGCAGTATGTGCCGTAAACGTCGTAGATATCGTCTAGTATGGTTATGAGGGAGGTGATCTTGGTCATCTCTCTCCTGAAATACCAGAGCTCAGGTTGGGAAGCCATGCCCACTCCCCAGAAGGTTTCTGTCGGCATGTCCCTCGCAAACCTCAGCTTCTCTCCAACGTCCATCTCCTTCCACCATCTTCTTTCATTTGTACAAGCACGAAACGAAACACTGGCCATTATCAGTAGTATTCTATGATATATGTCAATATCGTTTAAATTAATTGAGTACGTGTACGTACCTTGACTTGGACTTTGTTGAAGTCCGGTGGAGCCAATTAAGCAAAGCTGTGGGATCACGTTCTTCCTCTCTCGTACAAGTCAATGAATCATGGGACCTTAAGTCTGGATACCCTCCAGTGTAGCGTAAGCTACAGCGCATGACTCACCATAAGTGCCATCTCACCGTCTTTCTTCTCCTTTACAAGCTCTTTCAGATGACTGCGGCAAAATTCTCTTGCTTCCTCCAATGTAGTTTCCCCTTCCGTTGAATGAGACGACGCTTGATTCGTTCAATGATACCATCCCAGAGGCTCCCAACAAAATTCCCCTCGTTATCTTGAAAACTTTTGAAAACCTCTAATGCGAGCAAGTAAAAAGGAAAAAAAAGCTTGTCAGGACAGGGCGGCGATACGGGGATGATTCGGTACCTGATGACACATCATATTATTCCTGCTGCCTCAGGAGTCTGAACACGAGGGCAGTGCAGTGCAAGTTATCGTGGGGTCACCAGCCTTAATAAGCTTCACCAGCCACTGGAGAGACGCGGTCCTTTTGACGTGCACGCATAATACATATGTATTTTTTAATGAAATTTTTAACAAAATTTTAATATTATTACAAAATACAAGAGCAAGCATAGATATATTTGAACTACATGAAGCCTGGTGGGGGTAAGATTTTTTTATTTTGTTTATTAATTTCTTGGGATATGCCAATTAGAGTTGTCCATTAGTTTGAAAATAGCTAGGGTTAGACGGCTAGTCCAAAAACAAAAAGGCTGATTTTTTTTATGCCCTTTTATTATTATTTTTTAAAATATAATCTAAAAAAATAAAAGATTAAATATATAACTAAAATAAATGAAAACCTTAAACTCATTCATCCCTCCCTTATTTATTTATTAAAATTTAACTGATAATGTTAGTTAAGTCTCATTTTTATTGCTGTTAGTTTTAATGTTGCTGTTGAATATTAAACTTAAATGTTTAATTTTTTTATATTTATTGTGGTGTAAATTAATTTAAATTTATTTTCTTAAACTTAATCTTATATGCAATAACTTTTATTAGAATTGTATATATTTTTAGAATTTTATATTGAAAAAAGCCAAAAAAAAAAAAGGAATGAGGCTCTAAAGACTAGGGTTGAACTTTGTAAAAGAGAGCTCTAAGATATAATTGAATTTATTAAAGTTAGCCCGTTTTAAGTTCATGCCTTTTAAAGATTGACCCGACTCTAATTGATAGGTATAATACCAAGCAAGTCTTGACTCTTGAGCACGGAACAAAAAATTTATTTCATTCTTCATCATACTCCACCCTTTATTTCGTTCGATTTTGTTTTGGATATAATAATAATAATAATTTCCCATGCGATGCATGGAGGTATTTTAATATTTACAAGATAAACATAAAATACAAGTACGAAAATAAAAAAATAATTTAATTTAATGCACCCAGAATTTATTATTTTATATCAATTAAAATTAAAATGACTATATTTTAAATTGTTTCATCCATATATAGTGTAAAATATTTTTAATTAAATCGCATCTTCAATAAATTAGTTAATTATCTTTAAACTAATAATACATTTCCATATTCACCTAAGACTAAATATGAAATGATTAATTTATTATTTTTTAAAAAATACATTAATTACACTTTGAAACACTAAAAATATCTTATATTTTTAAAAGGAACAAGTATATTAATATAAAATTAATTGGACTTTACTAAATGAAAAAAATGGTTGATAGAAAATTGTGATTTACTAAATCGTTTTAGTCATTGGTGAAACCAAACTTATAAATACTTATACCAACCTAGTGAATCATATAAAATTAGTTATAGATGGGGTATTAAAATAATTTCACACAAATTTAATCACAAAGAAATTCCTTAGGATCTCACTATCATTATCATATTTTGTGAGACCAAATTATCATTTTTATATTTAAGAGGAATTTATCTAGCATTCTCCCTACTTTGAACTGAGGTTTAAAAAAAAAAACTTTCTACTCATTTGCATGATTAATTGAAGGAAAAGTTGTGCTAACAAATATTTCTAGATTCCTTAATGGTTGTCCATGTAAATTAAAATTTGAGCAACAACTTCTATTTTATATTTTGTTACTATTATTGATAGAAGGTTGAGAAATTTTTGAATAATACAAAATATATTTCTTATGTCTCTTGGGCTTTGAGTTTACACACATGGTGCAGAAAGCACTTGGAAAAACAAACACAATAGGCTAACTAGCATATATTTATAGTCCAAAAATAAATCAAGAAAACAACAAGAACTAAACCAAGCAAACTAAGGCACGTAAGCCTAAAAGATAAAAACCTAGGCACATAAGCCCAAAAGATAAACACTATTAAAAAATTTAAACTACTAAAATAATCCAAAATAACCTAACCCAATACTAATTCTCAACACTCCTTATAAAGTTATGTTGGAAGAGATTTAGGGAATCTAACTTAGATAGCATACTGTCACGGATGATATCTCCGTGACCGTGTAAAGATCAATGTAATGAGCGATCCGCTGGTTAACCTCGCACAATATGGGTAAAGGGGGCGATATTGGCATTGGGGGTGTTCTGCCTCAATCTTCGGACTGAGTGCACAACTGGTCGAGGGCTAGTGCCGCCTCCCTGATGAGCCCATGGCAGGGCGAAACCAGTGTGATCCGTACGTGATAAGGCTTGTCCTGAGGATTATGGGGTCCTCCAGGACACCGCACGGGCGCCGTGTGCTGTGCCAGACTCTCAGCTCGTGACAATACGCTCATGAGCTGTTTTTCCAAGAGCCTTTGTCAAAACATTTGCTTCTCATTCCCTTGTTTTCACATGTTTTAAGCTTTAACTTATCTTGTACTTTCTCTCGCACAAAATGATAATTAATCTCAATATGTTTTGTCCTCGTGGTACATTAGGTTTGAAGCTATTTGTATGGCAGCCTTATTGTCATAATGTACATGAATAGGAGTTAGATTATTAGAAACATGTAAATTTGTTAACAATCCATTCAACCAAACTAATTTAAAAACAATGCTACCCATAGCTCTATATTTTACCTCAGCAAAAGACCTTGAGACAATGCTTTGTCTTTTAGGTTTCCATAAGATTATAGCTCCTCCTATTTTAATTAAGAAGTCGGTGATAGATCTTTGTGATGTAGGGCATGTGGCCTAATTTGAGTCACAAAAACCTTCTAATCTCATATATCTTGAAAAGGGAAAGAAGATCCCTTAACTTGGATTTTTTTAAGGTTAAAGTTTATTTCTGTCCCTAAACTATACATGAAGGGTCATAAATACTCCTAAATTCAATTATGGGTCAATTCTATTTCTTAATTTTAAAGATTTCCTTTATCAAATTCAGGGTGTACTTATACTGATTAAGAACAATTCCTTTACTTGACTTCGTTGTTTCAATCCCAAG